CCATTTCAGACCATTTAAATCTCTTTTCTGTCATTCTCAGGCCGTTTCAATCTCACTTTTGGTCCTTCCAAGCCACTTCAACCTCACTTTTGGCCATTTAAAATTCATTTCTGACCCTTCCAAGGTGTTTCAATCTCATTTCTGCCCTTCCAAGCCATTTCAATCTCACTTTTGGCCATTTCAAACCATTTCAATCTCATTTCTTGCCCTTCCAAAACCCTTAAATTTCACTTTTGGCTGTTTCAGGTTGTTTAAATCTCACTTTTGGCCGTTTCAAACTACTGAAATCTCACTTTTGGCCATTTCAGACCACTTAAATCTCATTTCTGTCATTCTCAGGCCATTTCAATCTCATTTCTGGTCCTTCCAGGCCATTTCAATCTCACTTTTGGCCATTTCAGGCCATTTAAATCTCATTTCTGGCCCTCTCAGGCCCTTTCAACCTCATTTCTGACCCTTCCAGGCCGTTTCAATCCCACTTTTGGCTCTTCCAAGCCACTTAAATCTCACTTTTGGCCATTTCAATCTCACTTTTGGCCATTTCAGACAACTTCAATCTAATTTCTGGCTCTTTCAAGCCACTTAAATCTCACTTTTAGCTGTTTCAGGCCATTTAAATCTCATTTGTGGCCCTTCCAAGCCATTTCAGTCTTACTTTTGGCCATTTCAGGCCATTTCAATCTCACTTTTGGCCGTTTCAATCTCATTTCTGGCTCTTCCAATCCATTTCAATCCCACTTTTGGCCGTTTCAGGCCATTTCAGTCTCATTTTTTGCTCTTCCAATCCATTTCAATCTCACTTTTAGCCGTTTCAGGCCATTTCAATCTCACTTCTGGCCATTTCAGTCTCACTTTTGGCTATTTCAAGCCACTTAAATCTCACTTTTGGCTGTTTCAGGCCATTTAAATCTCACTTTTGGCCATTTCAATCTCATTTCTGGCCTTCTCAGGCCCTTCCAACCTCACATTTATCACCTGGACCTCACTGCTGCCTCTTCCCAGCCCGTTTCCCTGCGGCTCCTGGCCCTCCCTGAGCTGCTGGCGGGGCAGTGCCGGGCGGTGCTGGCGGGAGGATTGAATGGGCAGTGGAGACTGAACGACCCCGCTCACCTTTAGAGGTGCTTCCTCCGACTCAGCGCCCAGGCACAGGGAGGAGGCAGCGTGGGGGAAGCTGCCACTGCCCGCGCTCTGTCTGCTCTGTGGATAAACACAGGGATTCAGTCTCCAGGGCTGTCAATCCGGCGCCTTTTTTTTCTTTTTTTTTTTTCTTTTTTTTAACCCAGACGTTACTTTCCCAAAAAATTCCAAACAAGCTGCCATGCTCCCTGCTCTTGGGGTCGGTTTGTTTGTATAAATTTTTTTTTTTTTAATTTTTTTGGTTGTTAAAAAACTTTCTCTCTCTGACTCCTAACCCCCAAAAAAAATAAAATTCCCCCACGGGAAACTCCTGCTCTGGATCTCACCTCATCCTGCTCCTCGTGCTCGAGAATGGCCTGAAGGAAGGCCCGGCGCTCGTGGCTGGAGGATTTCTGGTCGAACATTCCGGCCTGGATCACTTTTTGGTCCACGTTGAGTTTGTATTTGGCTGCTGCCAAGATTTTTTCCTCCACGCTGTTGACGGTGCAGAGGCGGAGGACGCGGACCTCGTTCTGCTGCCCGATGCGGTGAGCCCGGTCCTGGGCCTGGAGGTCCTGGGGGAAGGGGGTGGTGATAGCTCTGGGCTACCAAAAATCCCCTTCCTGTCCTCGAAAATCCGTGGGGGGAGAGGTGGGACGAGGCCTGAGGGTGGTTTGGGAATGCCGAGGATGATGGGGATGGGGAAATGGGGTCACCAGGAGTGTGGGAGGGCCAAAGGGAGCCAAAATCCTTGGGTTTGTCCTCAAAATCCTTGGTTCTGTACACAAAATCCCTGGTTTGTCCTCAAAATCCCTGGGTTTGTCCTCAAAATCTGCAGGGCTTCCCAGGGATGATGGGGATGTGGTAATGGGGTCACCAGGACTGTGGGATTGTCAAAGGGAGCCAAAATCCCTGGGTTTGTCCTCAAAATATGTATGGGTTCCCAAGGATGATGGGGATGTGGCAACGGCATCACCAGGACTGTGGGATGGCCAAAGGGAGCCAAAATCCTTGGGTTTGTCCTCAAAATCCTTGGTTCTGTACACAAAATCCCTGGGTTTGTCCTCAAAATCTGCAGGGGTTCCCAAGGATGATGGGGATGTGGTAATGGGGTCACCAGGAGTGTGGAATGGCCAAAGGGTCCCAAAATCCCTGGGTTTGTCCTCAAAATCTGCAGGGGTTCCCAAGGATGATGGGGATGTGGTAATGGGGTCACCAGGAGTGTGGAATGGCCAAAGGGTCCCAAAATCCCTGGGTTTGTCCTCAAAATCTGCAGGGGTTCCCAAGGATGTGGCAATGGAATTACCAGAAGTGTGGGATGGCCAAAGGATCCCAAAATCCCTGGTTTTGTCCTTAAAATCCCTGGTTTTGTCCTCAAAATCTGCAGAGGTTCCCAAGGATGTGGCAATGGCATCACCAGGAGTGTGGGACGGCCATAGGGAGCCAAAAATCCCTGGTTTTGTCCTTAAAATCCCTGGTTTGTCCTTAAAATATGTATGGGTTCCCAGGGAACATGGGGATGTGGCAACGGGATCATCAGGACTGTGGGATGGCCAAAGGGAGCCAAAATCCCTGGGTTTGTCCTCAAAATCTGCAGGGGTTCCCAGGGAACATGGGGATGTGACAGTGGGGTCACCAGGACTGTGGGATGGCCAAAGGGAGCCAAAATCCCTGGGTTTGTCCTCAAAATCCCTGGTTTTGTCCTTAAAATCCCTGGTTTTGTCCTCAAACCTGCTCTTGGGGTCGGTTTGTTTGCATAATTTTTTTTTTTTTTTAATTTTTTTTGTTGTTAAAAAACTTTCTCTCTCTGACTCCTAACCCCCAAAAAAAAATTCCCCCACGGGAAACTCCTGCTCTGGATCTCACCTCATCCTGCTCCTCGTGCTCGAGGATGGCCTGAAGGAAGGCCCGGCGCTCGTGGCTGGAGGATTTCTGGTCGAACATTCCCGCCTGGATCACTTTTTGGTCCACGTTGAGTTTGTATTTGGCTGCTGCCAAGATTTTTTCCTCCACGCTGTTGACGGTGCAGAGGCGGAGGACGCGGACCTCGTTCTGCTGCCCGATGCGGTGAGCCCGGTCCTGGGCCTGGAGGTCCTGGGGGAAGGGGGTGGTGATAGCTCTGGGCTACCAAAAATCCCCTTCCTGTCCTCGAAAATCCGTGGGGGGAGAGGTGGGACGAGGCCTGAGGGTGGTTTGGGAATGCCGAGGATGATGGGGATGGGGAAATGGGGTCACCAGGAGTGTGGGAGGGCCAAAGGGAGCCAAAATCCTTGGGTTTGTCCTCAAAATCCTTGGTTCTGTACATAAAATCCCTGGTTTGTCCTCAAAATCCCTGGTTTGTCCTCAAAATCCCTGATTCTGTCCTTAAAATCCCTGGTTTGTCCTTAAAATCCCTGGGTTTGTCCTCAAAATCTGCAGGGGTTCCCAAGGATGATGGGGATGTGGTAATGGGGTCACCAGGAGTGTGGAATGGCCAAAGGGTCCCAAAATCCCTGGGTTTGTCCTCAAAATCTGCAGGGGTTCCCAGGGAACATGGGGATGTGACAGTGGGGTCACCAGGACTGTGGGATGGCCAAAGGATCCCCAAATCCCTGGGTTTGTCCTCAAAATCCCTGGTTCTGTCCTTAAAATCCCTGGTTTGTCCTTAAAATCCCTGGTTTTGTCCTCAAAATCTGCAGCGGTTCCCAAGGATGACGGGGATGTGGGAAAGGAATTACCAGGATTGTGGGATGGCCAAAGGGAGCCAAAATCCCTGGTTTTGTCCTTAAAATCTGCAGGGCTTCCCAGGGATGATGGGGATGTGGCAATGGGGTCACCAGGACTGTGGGATGGCCAAAGGGAGCCAAAATCCCTGGGTTTGTCCTCAAAATCTGCAGGTGTTCCGAAGGATGTGGCAATGGAATTACCAGGAGTGTGGGATGGCCAAAGGGTCCCAAAATCCCTGGGTTTGTCCTTAAAATCCCTGATTTTGTCCTCAAAATCCCTGGTTTTGTCCTCAAAATCTGCAGGGGTTCCCAAGGATGTGGCAATGGAATTACCAGGACTGTGGGACGGCCAAAGGGAGCCAAAATCCCTGATTTTGTCCTTAAAATCCCTGATTTTGTCCTTAAAATCCCTGGTTTTGTCCTTAAAATCCCTGGTTTTGTCCTCAAAATCCCTGATTTTGTCCTTAAAATCCTTGGTTTTGTCCTTAAAATCCCTGGTTTTGTCCTCAAAATCCAAATTTTGTCCTCAAAATCCACAGGGACGACGCCGGCTGATCCCTGAGGGATCCCCAAGGATCCCAGGGATCCAGGAATGGGATTATGGAGATCCCAAACTCCACTTTTAGCCTTAAAATGGGGAAAACACGAGATGAACCCCAAGGGCTCTCAAAGATCCTGAAGGATTATGGGAATTCGGGCGGTGGGATTGGTGGGAGACCATGAAGGTCCTGGAGAAAATTGTCACATTGGCCAAGAGATGCCAAAAAAAGCCTGGTTTAACCTCAAATAAACCACGGGAAAGGTGTGGGATGCACCATGAGGAGTTGAGAGATCTCCAAGGATTAGGAGAATTTGGGTAACGGAATCACCAGGACCAGGATTCTTCTGGGAAGAAGAAGACCAGGATTCTTCTGGGAAGGGGCAGCATTAGATGAGGGGCTCCCAAAAACTCCATTTTTATCCTCAAAGACATTGGATGTGCCCTCAGCAATCCCAGAGGGTTTTGGGAATTCCAGAACGGGATTGTGGGATGTTCTTTCCTTCAGAGGGTGCAGGGAAACCCCAGCTGCAAACGTTGGGATTTGGGGGTGGCTCTCCAGGATGGAATTCCAAGCTCATGGCTCCTCTTTGGGTCAGTTGGTTTTGGGGCTGGTTCATTGGGTTTTGGGTCAGTCAGTTGGGTTTTGGGTCAGTCCATTGGGTTTTGGGTCGATTTTTGTGTCAGTTTTTGGGTCAGTTGGGTTTTGGGTTGATTTTTGTGTCAGTTTTTGGGTTTGTCAGTTGGGTTTTGGGTCAATTTTTGTGTCAGTCTTTGGGCCAGTTGGGTTTTGGGTCAATCAGTTGGTTTTTGGGTTGGTCAGTTGGGTTTTGGGTCAGTCAGTTGAGTTTTGGGTTGATTTTTTTGTGTCAGTTTTTGGATCAGTTGGGTTTTGGGTTGGTCAGTTGGGTCTTGTGTCAGTCAGTTGGGTTTTGGGTTGGTCAGCTGACTTTTGCGTCATTTTTGGATGGGTCAGTTGGGTTTTGGATGGGTCGGTTGACTTTTGGATTGACTTTTGTGTAATTTTTGGGGCCAGTTGAGTTTTGGATGCATCAGTTGGGTTTTGGGTTGGTCAGTTGGCTTTTGGGTTGACTTTTGTGTCATTTTTGGGTCAGTTGAGTTTTGGGTTGGTCAGTTGACTTTTGTGTCATTTTTGGATGGGTCAGTCGAGTTTTGGATGCGTCAGTTGGGTTTTAGGTTGGTCAGTTGACTTTTGGGTTGACTTTTGTGTCATTTTTGGATAGGCCAGTTGAGTTTTGGGTTGGTCAGTTGACTTTTGTGTCATTTTTGGATGGGTCAGTTGAGTTTTGGATGCGTCAGTTGGGTTTTGGGTTGGTCAGTTGACTTTTGGGTTGACTTTTGTGTCATTTTTGGATGGGTCAGTTGGGTTTTGGATGGGTCGGTTGACTTTTGGATTGACTTTTGTGTAATTTTTGGGGCCAGTTGAGTTTTGGATGCATCAGTTGGGTTTTGGGTTGGTCAGTTGGCTTTTGGGTTGACTTTTGTGTCATTTTTGGGTCAGTTGAGTTTTGGGTTGGTCAGTTGACTTTTGTGTCATTTTTGGATGGGTCAGTTGGGTTTTGGATGGGTCGGTTGACTTTTGGATTGACTTTTGTGTAATTTTTGGGGCCAGTTGAGTTTTGGATGCATCAGTTGGGTTTTGGGTTGGTCAGTTGAGGATTATGGGAATTCGGGCGGTGGGATTGGTGGGAGACCATGAAGGTCCTGGAGAAAATTGTCACATTGGCCAAGAGATGCCAAAAAAAGCCTGGTTTAACTTCAAATAAACCACGGGAAAGGTGTGGGATGCATCATGAGGAATTGAGGGATCTCCAAGGGTTAGGAGAATTCGGGTAACGGAATCACCAGGACCAGGATTCTTCTGGGAAGAAGAAGACCAGGATTCTTCTGGGAAGGGGCAGCATTAGATGAGGGGCTCCCAAAAACTCCATTTTTATCCTCAAAGACATTGGATGTGCCCTCAGCAATCCCAGAGGGTTTTGGGAATTCCAGAACGGGATCATGGGATGTTCTTTCCTTCAGAGGGTGCAGGGAAACCCCAGCTGCAAACGTTGGGATTTGGGGGTGGCTCTCCAGGATGGAATTCCAAGATCATGGCTCCTCTTTGGGTCAGTTGGTTTTGGGGCTGGTTCATTGGGATTTGGGTCAGTCAGTTGGGTTTTGGGTCAGTCCATTGGGTTTTGGGTCGATTTTTGTGTCAGTTTTTGGGTCAGTTGGGTTTTGGGTCGATTTTTGTGTCAGTTTTTGGGTTTGTCAGTTGGGTTTTGGGTCAATTTTTATGTCAGTCTTTGGGCCAGTTGGGTTTTGGGTCAATCAGTTGGTTTTTTGGTTGGTCAGTTGGCTTTTGGCTCAGTCAGTTGAGTTTTGGGTTGATTTTTTTGTGTCAGTTTTTGGATCAGTTGGGTTTTGGGTTGGTCAGTTGGGTCTTGTGTCAATCAGTTGGGTTTTGGGTTGGTCAGTTGACTTTTGGGTTGACTTTTGTGTCATTTTTGGATGGGTCAGTCGAGTTTTGGATGCGTCAGTTGGGTTTTGGGTTGGCCAGTTGACTTTTGGGTTGACTTTTGTGTCATTTTTGGATAGGCCAGTTGGGTTTTGGGTTGACTTTTGTGCCATTTCTGGATCCATCAATTTTAGGCTCACTTCAAACCAGACTTTGGGCGTTCCTTTGCCTCAACATCCCCATTTCTGAGCTGATTTTTGGGTCGATTTCCAATCCCACGGATCCGTGGCCGCTCCTGGCCCTACCTGGTGTGGGTTCCAGTCGCTGTCGAAGATGATGACGGTGTCGGCCGACTGGAGGTTGAGGCCCAACCCGCCGGCCCGCGTGCTCAGCAGGAAGATGAAATACTCGGAGCCGGGCTCGTTGAACGTCTTCAACAACATCCCCCGGTCCTCGGCCTTCGTGGTCCCTGGAATCCCACACGGGCGTCACTCCCGTCCCCTTCCCGGCACCGGAACGAGGGAAGGTTCCGGAAGGTTCCGTCGGGAATGGGATTCCCATTGAATTGAGCTCCCGTTCCCAGTCCCAACGGGATTGGTGGTTTCGTTTCAGGTTTGGGTGATTTTGGTAAAAAGATTGGGAAAAAATGGGGGGAAAGGGGTGGATCCTGCTCTGAGGTGGGGTAGAAGTTGGGATCACAGCAGTCAGAATTACTGAGGTCGTTTTGGGTCATTTTGGGGTAATTTTGGGGTTGTTTTGGGGCCATTTTTGGAGATTTGTGAGGGCCATGGGTGACATTTTGTGCTCTTAATCCACGCTCATTTCAGAATCTTTTGGGTCGGAATGGACCTTAAATTCCACCCTGTTCCAACCCAATTAATCCAAGCCAATTAATTCAACCAATTAATCCACCTCTGTTTTAGTCACATGAGAACAGAATTATTGAGGCCATTTTGGGGTCATTTTGGGGCCGTTTTTGGGGATTTGTGAGGGCCATGGGTGACATTTTGTATTCTTAATTCGTGCTCATTTTAGAATCATTTGGGTTGGAAGGTACTTTAAATCTCATCCTGTTCTGACCCAATTAATTAACCAATTAATCTAATCAATCCATATTTGTTTTAGTCACATGAGAACAGAATTATTGAGGCCATTTTGGGGCAGTTTTTGGAGATTTGTGAGGGCCATGGGTGACATTTTGTGCTCTTAATCCACGCTCATTTCAGAACCATTTGGGTTGGAAGGGACCTTAAATCCCACCCTGTTCCAACCCAATTAATCCAAGCCAATTAATTCAACCAATTAATCCACATTTGTTTTAGTCACATGAGAACAGAATTATTGATGCCATTTTGGGGTAATTTTTGGAGATTTGTGAGGGCCATGGGTGACATTTTGTGCTCTTAATCCACGCTCATTTCAGAATCATTTGGGTCGGAAGGGACTTGAAATCTCATCCTGTTCTGACCCAATTAATTAACCAATTAATCCAATTAATCCATATTTGTTTTAGTCACATGAGAACAGAATTATTGAGGCCATTTTGGGGTCATTTTGGGGCCGTTTTTGGGGAAAACAGCAGCAGGCAATGATGCCTTGATGTCCATCTCTGACATCTTGATATCAATCTTCTATCACTTGATATCAATCTTTGATAATTGATATAATCAATATTTTTATATCAAAACTTAAAAATATTGATATCAATCTTTGATATCTTGATATCAGCCTTGATACAAAGCTTGATATCTTTAATGCTGATCTTGATACAAACCTTGATATTGATCTTTTTATTGGTATTTCAGTATCAATAAACATCCTGCAATCTGGATATCAAGATATTGATCTTTACATTGATCTTGATATCAATCTCAATGTCTTTGATGTTGATCTTGATATAAATACTGATATCAATCTTCCTATCTCAATGTCTTGATATTGATCTTAGAATCTGGATATCAAGATACTGATATTTGAAATCTTGATATCGATCTTGATATCAACCTCAACGTCTTTGATGATGATCTTGATGTAAATACTGATATCAATCTTGCTATCTCAATATTTTGATATTGATATTTGAAATATTGATGCTAACCTTGATATCAACCTTGATATCAATCTCACTATTGATTTCTCAATATCAATGTCTCAATATTGATCACACAATCTGGACATCAAGGTATTGATATTTAAAATCTTGATGCCAATCTTGATGCCAATCTTGATATCAATCTCACTATTGATTTCTCAATATCAATGTCTCAATATTGATCACACAATCTGGACATCAAGGTATTGATATTTAAAATCTTGATGCCAATCTTGATGCCAATCTTGATATCAATCTCACTATTGATTTCTCAATATCAATGTCTCAATATTGATCACATGATCTGGATATCAGGACATTGATCTTTTCATTTATCAATATCTTATCTCACTTTCTCCCTTGATATCTACTTTGACACACTGAAATTTATCTCCTTACCTTCACATCTATTTTGATATCTCTCCATCTTTAATTAAGAGATTTATCTTCATATTTTGATGGTTTTCTAATTTTTTTAATCTTGAAATTCCTCAACATCTTTCTACCCACCCCAATACCTTCATTTCTTTATATTTTAGGACCTTTTCTTGATGTCTTGACCTTGAGCTCCACCTTGCCCACTGTCCCACCACCCCCTGGGGACACCAATGACCCCACCACCCCCTGGGGACACCAATGACCCCCTCCCCACATCCCACCCCACGCCAGGGGCACTCACCATCCAGCCTGAGGTATTTGAAGCCACGATAAGCAAAATAATCCTCCATGATGGTCATCAAGGAGGTCATCTGGCAGAAGAGCAGCACCTTGTGGTTGGTGGCCCGGAGTTTGGGCAGGATCCGGTCCAGGAGCTCGAACTTCCCGGAGGCACGGTATAAATCCAACCTGGGGTGGATAAAAATTATCAGAATGAGAGGAAAAAACGGGATTTGAGGCCGAAAATTTGGTGTTTCCCCCTTGTCGGGATCATCTGGAATCATGAGGTGGGAACGGTTCATCCTCCATCCCAAAAAACCGTTCTGAGTTCGTAAATTCACGGATTTCAACATTAATCCCAAAATTGGTCACTCACCCCTGCACGATCCCGCCCGTGAACCCCAAGTGCTCCGAGAAGGATTCCTGAAATGGGAGAGGAGAAATGGTGTCACAAATCAGAAGGAACTGCCCCAAAAAATCTGGAGCTGCCTTCAGGAGCCCCAGTTCCCTCAAGAAGCTGGTGAGAAGGAGGATGGATTTTTTTGGGTGGAAAACAGAAGAATGGAAGGGTTTGATTTGGTTCATCTTTGTTGGGTTTAACCCTGTTGGGTTTATCCTTTTTTTGGTTCATCCCTGGTTCTCCTGGGTTTAACCCTGTTGGGTTTAACCCTGTTTGGGTTTATCCTCATTAGGGTTATCCCTGGTTTTGAATTCTCCCTGTTTTGAGTTTAAGCCTGTTAAGTTTGACCCTGTTGGGTTTAACCCTGCTGGGTTTATCCCTGGTTTTGGTTTATCCCAGTTTTGTTTGGTTTACCCTCATTGGGTTTATCCTTTTTTTGGTTCATCCCTGGTTCTCCTGGGTCTAACCCAGTTGGGTTTAACCCTGTTGCGTTTATCCCTGGTTTTGGATTCTCCCTGTTGAGTTTAACCCTGTTAAGTTTGACCCCGTTGGGCTTAACCCTGTTTGGTTTATCCCTGGTTTTGATTTGTCCCAGTTTTGTAGGTTTACCCTCGTTGGGTTTATCCTTTTTTTGGTTCATTCCTGGTTCTCCTGGGTTTTAACCCCATTGGGTTTAACCCTGTTTGGGTTTATCCTTGTTAGGGTTATCCCTGGTTTTAGATTCTCCCATATTTGTTGAGTTTAACCCTGTTGAGTTTAACCCTGCTGGGTTTAACCCTGTTGGGTTTATCCCTGGTTTTGGTTTATCCCAGTTTTGTAGGTTTACCCCCGTTGGGTTTATCCTTTTTTTGGTTCATCCCTGGTTTTTCTGGTTTTAACCCTGTTGGGTTTAACCCTGTTGGGTTTAACCCATTGAATTATCCCTTTTTTTGGTTCATCCCTGGTTCTCCTGGGTTTAACCCTGTTAGGTTTAACCCTGTTTGGGTTTATGCTCGTTTGGATTATCCCTGGTTTTGGATTCTCCCTGTTTTGTTGGGTTTGC